GAGAATCAGAATGCCTTGCGGGGGAGCCTGGAAAAACCTTTCAGGTCCCCACAAAGTAGCTCCTCCGTTGCCTCCCCTAGTTGGGGGCCCACCTCGATAGAGAGCCGGGAGTGCTGGAGGGGAGATGGGTACTAGAGAAAATTGCCGAATTCAAGTGTGTTCAAGACTCCACGAGAGAACGAGCAGGGCTCTGGATGCAGACTCGCGTTGGCGTCCTTTCCGGGGCTTGCCTTAAATGCGTGGTGCCCCCACCCGGGCCTCCTCACCACTGGAGACTCTGGTGTAGGAGTATTTGGTTTCTACGCACCAGCACAAGGAAATACTTCATTTAAGCCAGAAACCCAAGTCTAGGGCAGCCACTTTCTAGGCAAAAGCCAGAGCGCTAGGAACTGGAGGGATTAGAACTTCAGGCCTCCAAGACCTGAGAGAGCCCCAGCCATCAGAGCCCAACTAGCGAAATATGGCAACCTGCCTCAGGGGTGGGATTGCTGCCCAAATTCAGCCCCCAGTAGGTCAGTAGTGAGGGGGAGTGGTTGTCCTCAAATGCTCAGTCCTGGTGTTTCTCTGCCCCCCAGCGCAGGTGGCCCTGATGATTGGAGGAATCATTGGGGGGCTGCTGCTGCTGCTGCTGCTGATTGGAGTGAGCTGCTATCTCTGGAAGAAGCTTTGTACCACTATCACCTATGAGGAGCTGCCCGGCACAGCAGACACAGCCACCACATCTGCCACCTGTGGACAGGGAGGCAAGTGCTACCAACTGGGGGCCAGGACCCAGCAGAGCAGGTGAGTCAGAATATGGGGTCAAAGGTCTTCCTGGCTTTGCTCAAGGATCTCCCGCTAAAGGTTTTCTTGGGGCAGGATGGGGAACATATCTGACTTTTGAACCCCTTCTCTCTACATCAGCATCACGCTGGGAGCTCTCACAAACCCCAGGGTCCTCACCACAACCTATGAGGCTGGCATGGCAAAGCCCATTTTCCAACTGAGGCTCAGAAGACACAATGATAAGTCCAGATAGTGCAACTAGTAAGTGACAGACCAGGGATCTGAACTCAGGCTGACTGACTCCAGAGACTCTGGCTCTAAGAGAAAGAAACGGGCGTTGAGTTATGGGAGAGGAAAATGTGCTCTTGCCTGCCTATTTCTGGCTCCTGCTGCCATTTTCTCCTCTAGTCTCTGGCACTTAGACTCATCTGGGCTCAGTGTACCTTTCCCCAGCCACCTACATGCTATCACCCTACCTTTCGACAGGCCACCAGGTGTGCCATTTGTAGTACCACCTTCCCGCCAAGGCCGAGACTGGATGCCTCTGCACAATGAAGAGTGGGTCCAGGCCCCAGGAGACCTCAGCCCAGCCCCAGAGCTCCTGGCCCACCTTTCCTACAGCAGCAACCTTGGTGAGTGCCCCGCCAAGCACTTCCCAGGGGCCAGGGACTGTTTGAGCCAGGGTAGACCTCTGTGCCTTCTTTCTCCAGGCCTGCCTCTAGAACCCATTCTGGATTGACGTAGGGTGCTAGGCTAGTCTAGACACCACATTTTCTGAGTACTAAAGCTTTCTCAGACACCCGCTGTAGCACTGTAGGATCAGCACTGGACTGCAAATCACAAGGTCGGCAGTTCCGACTCACCAGCTGCTCCTCGGAAACCCTGTACAAGGTCACTATGAGTCGGAATCGACTCAACGGTATTTAACAACAACAAAGCTTACTAAGCACCTACTACATCTCGTGCTCACGCAAGATATGGCCACATGTGCTGTTTTGGAGTTAAGTCTCACCACAACTCTATGAAGGAGGACCTATCATTCCATTTCACTTATTCATAAAACTGAAGTTCAGGAAGAATTATGGCACCTTGCCCAAGGTCACAAGGACAGTATATGACAGGGCTTGGATTGGAGCCCAGGTGTGTCTTAGGGTAGAACTTGTTCTGGGTCCTGTTCCGTGGATTCAAGGCTACGAACCATTTCAACCATGACCAGTGCAGTGCAATCAGTACAGATTCGTTTGTAAAATGTGGGTGTACTAGAACAGTAACCAAAATGGGGACAACTACAGATGAAACCCTGGAATGGGAGACTCAGAAGAAGCGTAGTTAGCCCTTTCAGACTGGATTATGGCCAGGACTGTGACGAGCAACACATTCATAGGAGCGTGGTCATTCGCAGTCTTTGAGCTGGACACTGCTGTTTCTGACTCTACCATTAAGAGATGTGGTTGCTATACAACACACATACTGCCCTTGTTTTCTAACAGGAGAATTTCGTTTCTACCAGAGCACTGACCCATAATTTTTCTCATCCTGGCTATCAATACCATATACCTACATTTTGCAAATCTGAGTTCATTCCGATTTTATCTTGTCAGCCATGTCTGAGCCAGGAAGGACCAGTCTGAAGCCTTTCATGGGTGGTGGGTCAGCGGGAAGAGAGAGCAAATATGGTTGAAGCTCGAAATCACTTTCTGCCCACCTCTTTGCTCCAAAAACTTCTAAGAAATCTTTCTAGGAACCACCCATTAGTCAATCTCATCATTAGTCAATGTGAAGGGAGAAGAAAAGAGACACCAATTTATCATTGAACCATTCTCTGGACACCATGGGAAGGGGCCAGGCCAGGTGCTGAGAAGGCCCTGCCTTCTGGAGAATGCTATCCCCTGGGGAGGGACAGGCATGCATATACAATGAGAGGAAAGCTGCACTGGACAAGGTGGATGGGGTTTACTCTAGAGAAGAGGATTGTGGAGACGGTTGGGGAGATGCTGCCAGGAGAGGTCAGTGAACAGATGGCCAAGAAGTGGGGGGTGCTCAATGTTTGCCCCTGTTTCCATCCCCACTTTCACCTGGCCTCTCGGTTACAGGGGTTTCAAGTGTGGTGGGAACGATCAATCCAGAGCTGTACAAGTACCCTGGGGACAAGTGTGAGACTGAGTTCCCTGAGGGCTGCCTGGGCCGGCTGTGGTTCTCAGTGGAGTACCAGCAGAAGACCGAGAGACTGTTGGTGGGGCTGATCAAGGCTCGGAGACTGCAAGCCCCCTCAGACACCTGCAGCCCCCTGGTGAAGCTCCACCTATTGCCTGACGAGCGGTACTACCTACAGTCCAAGACCAAGTGTAAAACCACCAACCCACACTTTGACGAGCACTTCATCTTCCAGGTTGGGCACCCATGGGAATGGGAGGGACTTGGGGCCCTCTGGCAACCTTGGAAGGAGCAGACATTGCAGGAGAGCCCAGGCACCCATTGTTAACCGAGACCTAGTCTGAGGGTCAGCGTCAGGGTTCACAAATGTGGGCAGAGGAAAGGCTTGGTGGGTGGGTGTCAGGAGGAAAGAACAAGAAAACACATGTTTGGAAGAGGACAGAAAGAGAAAACACAAGTGTCAGGCCCTAGCCCATAGGTCTCAGGAGAAGTACCCCAAAGCCCTCACACTACTCAGAGTGAGGTTTGGGGCAAGGCTTGCCAAGAGAAGCAAAGGATAGGATCTTACTGGAAAGACTCAGTATTTCCTTTGGATTGGGAGCAGGCACTCTCCTTAGCCATCAGAGCCCAGTGCAGGGACTCTACACCAAGTTGACGGGTCTGGGAGCCGCAGCAGGTGAATGTGGGCCCTCAGTGGAAGCCAAGAGGCCTTGGACAAACGTTTTCAAGAGCTGGGTGGCAGACTGGCAGCAGGGTAAGGAAAGGCCAGTCAGGCATTCTGGAAGAGTGTAGACTGCCCTCTAGGGCGGACCAGGGAGGAGTGGAAGTGTGGGTCCAGGCCCCCGCCACCCACCAGACATAGCTATGAGAAATCACAGGCAGGTCTTTTCCATCTTTGAGGAATCAAGAGCCAAGGTATAGCCTTGCAGACCAGCACTGTCTTATTTGAACTTTTATATTTTTTTCTTCACTCACCGCTCACTCACCCCATCCCCCCACTCTGAACCTCACCCCTCCATGCTTTCAAGGGGAAAGAGAAGAACATCAGTTGTATGTCAGGCACAGTTTGGGGGTTTACAGCTCAGAGAGCATGGATGGTCACTTCATTTTGCAGGTGAGGAGCTGAGAGCAGAGTTGGTAGGTCCCTCTAACCATAATGTCAGCAATTTGAATCCACTAGTATGGGTCGGAACCGACTCGACGGCACTTAACAACAACAACAACAACAAGCCCCTCCATAGGAAACAGATGAGGCTTTCTGCTCCTGTAAAGATTCACAGCCTCAGAAATCCTATACAGGGATCTATGAGTTGGAATGGGCTTGATGGCAGACCCTCCAGCCTGGACCAGCATGGTGCTCCTCACACCTTGGTGTGCAGGCACATCACCCGGGGGGTAGACTCTGACTCATGAGTTTATGGTAGTGTCTTAGTTTGCTCGGGCTGCTGGAGCAAGAAGACCACAAGTGAGTGGGTTGCTTTCAAGAATAGAAATGCACTTTAGCCTCACAACTCTGGAGGCTAAAAGTCCAAATCAAGATCTTGGCCATAAAAATTCCTTCCTTGTCAGTAACCCCAGACATACTTTGGTTCCTTGGCAATTCTCACCTGGTACCTCTCTTCCTGGGTTTATGCTTTGGGTCTAATATGCTCCTTTTATAATCAGGAAGCGATTAGGTGTAGGAGACACCCTACACTGATATGGCCTCATTAATATAACATTAGATTGTCTTATGGAAAGTGGTCACATTACATTACATTACATACACAGGGTTTGGTTTTTAGCACATGTATTGTTGTTGTTGTTAAGAGCTGTCAAGTCTGTTCCAACCCATAGCTACCCTGTATAGGGTTTCCGAGGAGTGGCTGGTGAGCTTGAACCGCTGACTTTTTGGTTCAAACCAACTTTGCAGTCCAGCCCATTAAACCACAGCACCACAACAGGACTCCAGCACATATACTGGGGGGACTCAATTCAATCCATAGCAGGCAGGACCCCAGATCCTTGATTTCTAACAAGATCACAGATGTTGGTGAATATGGCTGATCTAGAGACCACACTCGGTAGCAAGGCTCTGGCACACTTCTGCTTTCCTGGGGTTCTGGGCCTCGCTGCTAAGAAAAAGCCCCTGAGGATACCAGGGCTTAGGGTATGCAGCTAGTTGTTTGAGACAACCCTCACTGGAAGAGGCTTCCACACAATCCCACCCCTGACCTGGGCCCTCACCTCCCCTAGGTGTCCAGCAAAAGTCTCATACAGAGGGTGCTAAAGTTCTCTGTGTACCATGTGGACAAGCAGAGGAAGCATCAACTCCTGGGCCAGGTGTTTTTCCCCCTGAAGAAGGAGACCCTGGCAGGTGATTGTCAGCACATTATCTGGAGGGACCTGGAGGCCAAGAGCCTGGAGGTAAAGTCACAGTTATTAGACATATGCCAACTGTGTTCACTACCTGAACATCCACCAAGTGTGGCAAAGCCCGCTCCCCCTTACCCCCAGTTTACTGCCCACCATCCTTGCAAGTTGTCTCTGATGAGCCACAAAGTTGGGGGTTTGGGCCCAACGCCACATTGGATGCTTGGAAAGGGACAGTTGGGGAAGAGTGAGGGGTCCCCTAAAGTTCATTTGCCTTCGTGGTCACATTACCTGAGCAAGCTGAAGAAGCTTTGCTTGGATCCCCATCAAGGTAGACTGTGAAAGGTGACATGCCATAATGACCAACCAAGGGGACTATTTACCCACCACTCCCCAGGAAGGACCCAAAATGGACTTTAGAGTTGTGCAGACCTTAGCTCTGGTCCATACCCATGTGTGCTCTTGAGCAAATCCCTTCATCTTTGCTGTTCCCATTGATTAAACGATGCTAGAGACTGAGATGACAGGTTAGTCAGCTGCCTTTATCTCGGCCTTTGCAGCCTCCCTCTGAATTTGGCGATCTCCAGTTCTGCCTCAGCTACAACAACTACCTGAGCCGCTTGACAGTGGTTGTACTTCGAGCCAAGGGCCTCCAGTTCCAGGAGAAGAGGGGTGTTGTCAGTGAGTCTCCTCCCTTTTCCTCCTTGAACAGATCTCAGCTGGGGCCTTAGCTGCACCCTAGCCCCTGGCCACCTACATGTAGTCTTGGCATAGGAATGCCTCTGAGGCCTCCCTTCCTCTTCCCAGTTAGAAACCAAGTCTGTCTCCTGTGACTGCTACCAACGGGTTTTGTCTTCACTTCATGACCCTGTCCTCTCTATAGGCTAAACAAGTGTCATTCCTTTAGGACAGACCCCCACTTCTCCCCACCCTGAGTGGGCTCCCCTGTTTGCTGATGGCCAGACACCGGAGAAGAAAAGCACAAAAAGGGAGGAGTGGGGGCCTTGACCCTCTCCCACTGGGCCCTGCCTCCACTTGGGATCCTGGCAGGGGTTTGCTGACTGGTCTTGTCTTGGGTTGGGTGACTGAGGGCATGCTGGATTCAGATTTAGAAGGTGCCCGTCTAAAACTGTCGGAGCCCCACCTCCAAAATAACAGCCTCTGAGCACCGGAATGCCAGGGTTGCCCCCAAATCAGAGGAGCAAACAAGGGCCTGCCTAAACCTTGGAGGCGTCAGGAGGCTGAGGAAGGAAGAGGAAGGGAGCTGAGCATTTCCTCAACCTTAGTGTAAAGTATTGTACTAATCAGCCCATTTCCTTAAGTCAGCCACTCTGGCTGCACTAACAAATGGGGAGCTGGCGCCTGGGCATGTGCCCTCCTGACCATACTCTGGAAGGTGGGGGCTGGTGTGCGGCTCCCATCTGCCTGACCGAGCCCTGTAATAGTCCACACTGCACCCCTCCCCCAGGTGTGTTTGTCAAGGTCTCTCTGATGAACCACAATAAGTTTGTCAAGTGCAAGAAGACGTCAGCTGTGCTGGGATCTGCCCACCCTGTGTACAATGAAACCTTCAGCTTCAAGGTTGAGCCCGCTGAACTAGACACAGCCAGCCTCAGTCTGACTGTACTACAGAGCACAGGGGGTGATGGTAAGATTACCAGCCAACGAGACCCACTAGGGGCAAGGGCAAAGGAGGGGCCCCTCAAGGTGATGACATAGGAGCTCAGAGAAGCTGAGACCTTGCCCAGGGACACAGAGCCTATTGGTGAGAGAGCTGCCACTTCATACCTGGCTGTCACCCATACTCGGACTCTGGTACCATCAAGGCAATTAAGAGGTGGCCTCTGCTACCCACTTCTGGGAGAATCACTAGGCTGAAGTCTGCTTGCTGGCTACTGACCAGTGACCCAGTGCCCGAGGGTCCATGTCTGAGGCATTTCCTCATGCTTCCCAGACAAAGGCTTTAGGATCCTGGGTCCCGAGACAAGACAGATAGCAGGGCTGGGTTATCCCAGTCCTTGTACCCCATCCTACTGTGTGGAGGGGCAGAGCTGTGAGGGGTGGACTGGGCACAGGGACCAGGACTCAAACCCAGGTGCACAAGACTTGCGCTGCAGCCCCTCTCAGAATGCATCAGTGGGCTGATGGACCCCTCAGCTCTTTGATGTGAGTGGGGAGACCCACACAGCACAGGCTGTGTCTGAGATGGAGAAAGCAGCCTCCCTCCCGGGCTCCAGAACCAAAGCTGGGCCCCCTATGAAGTCTTGTGCTGAAAGTGGAAGGGGTCATGCCCCGTCTCTCCAGGGAGGGGCGAGGGAGAGAGGGAAATCCCGGGAGATAAGAATGGGTGCCCGTTTCTGGCCTAAAAGAATCACTGTGCTTTCCCCGCTGCAGAGATCCACATGCTGGGCCGGGTGGTGGTGGGTCCCTACATGTACGCCCGCCGCAAGGAGCTGGAGCACTGGGACGCGATGGTCAGCAAGCCCAAGGAGCTAGTGCGACGCTGGCATGCGCTTTCCCGTAGCCCTGAGCCCTGAGCGCCTCCACACTCGGTAATCCAAGAGCAGTCGCAGGCACCGATGTTTCACCCCACAGCTCACAGGACCGCCAGGCAGCCGAGTCAGGGGTGTGAGTATGATGGGTAGGAGCCAAGAGAAGAGAAGCAACACTGGCAGGTCGCTGACGAGCTGCCCCCACTATATCCTCTTTCCCTGTGTGGGCACTTGGGCGTCCTGCTAGGAGCCGGATCCTCTCAGACCTGACTTGAATCTGAACCTCTCATATTGAGATGAGCATTCAGAATACAGAGCTGTGCATCTGAATGGAAATGCGGGGGAAGCTGGTTACTTGGTGAACTACAGAAGGGTGATGCTCCACCTACCCTGTGTCTTGGCTGTGCTAGCGTCTGCTTTCTGCCTGGCAGAGGAAACACACTGAAAAACTTGAAGACAAAAATGCCCATGTTGTTGTTAAGTGCCGTTGAGTCGGTTCCGACCCATAGCGACCCTGTATAAGGTTTCTGAGTGGCAGCTGGTGAGTTTAAAACACCAACCTTGCAGTTCAAACGGCTTTGCAGTCTGGTGCATTAACGCACAGTGCCACACCAGGACTCCAAAAATGCCCATGTTGTTGTTGTTGTTGTTAAGTGCCTTCGAGTCGGTTCCGACCCATAGCGACCCTGTACAGGGTTTCCGAGGGTGTAAATCCTTATGGGAGTAGAAAGCCTCATCTTTCTCCCACGGAGCGGCTGGTAGTTTCGAACCACTGACCTTAGGTTCGCAGCCCGATTCGTAACCACTACGCTACCAGAGCTCCTTAAAAATGCCCATAGCACTTATTTTATCTGTTGTTGTTAAGTGCTGTTGAGTCGATTCTGACTCAGCAACCCTATATAGGGTTTCCGAGAAGCGGTTGGTGAGTTTGAACAGCCGACCTTGTGGTCCAGTGTTTATCCTACAGCACCACACTAGGACTCCTGGTTCATCTAGACCACAAGAAATGTCACCATCCCAGAGGTGGTCCCCCTGCTTGCTCTGAGCTGCACATGGGGTGTGGCCTGAATGGTCACAGGAAACCAGGGTGTCAAAGTGCCCACACAGCTCAGGAGAGAACTCTCAGAACAAGACTCCCTGGCTTCAGGAGCTAAGTGAGAATACAGTGTGCCTCTGCCCACCTAGTAAATAATGGTGGTTTCCCCAAATCTACCCATGTGCAAGGGAAGGAGAGTCCCACCTCATCCATCTTTGCTGTCTGTGCAGGCCTCTCCCCAGGCTCTGACAAATCTCACCCTTCCTATAGTTCAAAACCTGCCACTTTCCGTGGCCACCCTGGTTAACTGTGTCCAGCTTCAGGGCCTCCGACTTGTGGCAGGAAATTGTGAATGCATGTGTCCAAAATGTACAGGATGTTGCTGAGAGCTCTTTGTTTTTTTTATTTTTTTAAGTTTTTATTGTGAATTATGTGATAGTTTACATGGGAAGACATTAGCTTTACTTCATCCTGTCTTATTTCATTTTATTGTAATGATTACAATCCCCTGCATGCATCATCAAAGAACCAAAGGGTACAATCCGCAAGCCTGCCCCTCAGCCATCAGCACACAGCCCCTCTTCCTCCCTGAGTCGAGTCCCCAGCTGCTCCATCTCTCCACATCATCGTCTCTGCTCCATCTCTGTTGCTGCTTCTCTGGGTAGGGTCCTGCACTCCACTCCTCTCTCTTGATGGTCCCAGAGACCTCCAGAGAGCTCTTTATTTTAAAATTAGGCTTCCATTAAAATGATCGAGCTGTGATCAGTTTGGTGGAAAATGGAAGTTCCCATAAATCCTAGCTGGTAAAGTTGGACTTCAGGGAAGGGATAGAAAGGGTGCTTGCCACTGTGCCTCTAACAGGTGGTTTGTATTCTCACCTGGATGCTGTGGAGCTAGGCTTCTTACTTAGCTGGGGAAGTGTCTGTCTTTGTTGCTGGGAGTTGTCAAGGCAGTTCCAACTCATATGTACAACAGCATCTGGTCCTGCGTCATTCTCACACTTTACTGGTGTGTTTGAGGCCTTTGTTGCAGCCTCTGTGTTAATCCATCTCATTGAGGATTGTCCCCTTTTTGCTACATAACTAGAATAGAACTTTGAAGCCATATCTGTCCCCTTTTCTTAATCAGTGAACAACTTCAAGAAAGTCAGACACATTAATACTTGGTTTATGACTTTCTTTCCTGAAGTTGTTCGATGAATGAGGAGAGGACACAGATACTGGTTTATGCCTCTTTAACGTCACCTCTGGTCCTTGTGCACAGATGCACAAACACAAGCCTTGGTAAGGAGTCTGTGGGTGGCACAAATGGTTTACACTCAACCACTAACTTCAGTGCTGGTGGCGCTATAAGATATTCATTGGACTACTAACCACAAGGTCAGCAGTTCAAGCCCACCAGCTGCTCCACAGGGAAAAGATGAAGCTTTCTACTGTTGTAAAGATTTACAGCCTTGAAAACTCTATACAGGGTCACTATAAGTATTTACCAACAGCAACACTAACCGAAAGGTTGGCAGTTCGCATTCATGCAGTTGTGCCACAGGAAGAAAAGCCTGGCCAGCGGCTTCTAGAAAGATGACAGCCAGAGGACCCGGTGAAGCACAGTTCTACTCTGAAACACGTGGGGCCAGTCTGGACAGCCAGGATTTGGTCACTGTGGACAAAATACTTTTGGCCTTTTCTCACGTATTTCACTTGCACGTTTTCAACTCCACACACCAGTAATTTTGTGATAGCTTCACAGCTCAGACAGGAGATAGGCTCTTTATATATGCTTGTAGAGAAGGCTACGGACTTTTCATTTCTTACATGACAATAAATAGGTGCCAGCCACTCTGGATTTCAAGAGGAGGCTTGAGACTAGCAGTGGTCTTTCTGGGGCCCCTTGGAAGAGTTGCTAAGTAGCCCTTGCAGGACAGACTGCACCAGTGTCTCACTGTCTCACTCATACCTGGAGGATCTCTGGCAAGAGACCGGCATCCATCTGCTCTGATGGAAAGGAGAAAGAAGTATTGGCAGGTGTACACCTATAGACATGTTACTGTTTTTGTTGTTGTTAAGTACCATAGCAACCCTGTACATGATTTCCAAGGAGTGACTGGTGAGCTTGAACCACCGACCTTGCGGTTCAAACTGACTTTGACTTTACAGTCCAGTGCATTAGCCCACAGCGCCACACCAGGACTCCACATAGACATGTTAAACATGTTAGTTGCTGTCAAGTCGTCTCTGACTTATGACAACCTTATATATAACAGAATAAAACTGCTGAAACCCAAGCCATCTTCTTGTTTGAGTCCATTCTTACAGCTATTGTAATGCTTTCCAACCTGGACTTGGAGGAAGGGTTCATCTTCCAGCACTATATGAGGGGGCTTCAAAAAGTTTGTGGGGAAATGGCATGAAAAGATAATGGAATTTCCAATGAGCTTTAATTCCCCTCATATTAGACAGTACCCTTATCCTTAGGGTTTCCAGAAGTTTATTGCCAGGCCTTTCTTCCTAGTCTGATTTAGTTGTAAGCTCTGCTGAAACTTGTCCGCCACAGGCAATCTTAATGGTGTTTGAAGTACTGGTGGCATAGTGTTCAGCATCATAGCAACATGCAAACCACCATAACATGACAAACTGACAGGTGATGCGTACTACAGACACGGTCAGAACAAAAACTATGAGAGACCTAACCTAACATAATCTCCAATCTCAGCAGAAAGAAGCAAGAGGTGGACAGTGGGTGTCTGGGGTTGAGGTAGCTGTCATCAGCAACCAGCTATAGGAGATGTAATCGTCTGGTGAGTTAGCCAAAGTTTAGCCAAGAGAACAGAAACTGGAATAGGTGGTTCAGACAGAGAAGGATTATTATTTTATCTTTGAAGTGAATGATTTTGTCTGTTTGTTTGTTTGTTTTGAAGGATGCAATACATACAGAGAAAGACACAAAACATAATTGTACAGCTCAACGTATTTCCCTAAGGAAGAAAGTACTTGTGTAATCCAAAACCAAGATCAAAACATTGAATATTACCAAACCATTACACACAAAAACAAACAAAACAAAAACCCAAGTTACCATTGCATAGATTCCGACTCATGGAGTCTTCAGTGTGTTGGGGTAGAATTGTGTTCCATAAAGGGTTAAATTTTCAGAAATAGATCATGACTTTCTTTTGAGGCACCTCTGGGCAGACTCAAACCTCCAACCTCTTAGTGAGCAATCAGGCATGTAAACCATTCGCAGGGACACCTTGCACCCCAGATGTTCCCTTTAAGGAGCACTGACAACATAGTGAGTTATGTGTTGGGCTGCTAATCATAAGGTCAGCAGTTCTAACCCATCAGTCACTCTGGGAGAAAAATGAGGCTTTCTCTCCCATAAAGGTTTGTCGTTAGGTGCTATCGAGTCAGTACCGACTCATAGTGACCCTGTCTGTGCACAACAGTACAAAACACTGCCAGTCCTGCACCAACCTCATAATCACTGCTACACTTGTGCCCATTGCTGCTGCCACTGTGCCAATCCATCTCGCTGGGAGTCGTCCTCGTTTTCTCTGACCCCCCATTTTACCAAACGTGATATCCTTCCACAGAGACTGGTCCTTCCTGACACTATGTCCGAAGTATGAGAGATAAAGTCTGGCCATCTTGGCTTCCAGGGAGCATTCTGGCTGTACTTCTTTCAACACAGATTTATTTATTCTTTTTGTCAATCCATGGTATTTTCAATATTCTCCAACACCATAGCTCAAATGCATCAGTTCTACAGCCTTGAAATCCCATACAGGGTCACTATGAGACCGAACTGACTTGACGGTACACCTACAACACCACCATCCTAATTCATGAGAGATTGCAGTTGCTCTAGAGGATAAGCTCTGAAATGCAAACCACAAGGTCGGCAGTTCAAGCCCATCAGGTGCTCCATGGGAGAAAGATGAGGCTTTCTGCTCCCACAAAGATTCACAGTTTCAGAAACCCAATACAGGGTCGCTGTGAGTCAGAACTGGCTC